CTTCGTGCCAGAACTTCAGAAGCCAGACGGTTCTCAAATTTGCAAGGTAGACACCGCTACGTTCAGAAGCATTGTTAGGAGGCAAATGTACTCAGGCTTTGGCGTGGCCTCGTGCCCAATTGGGAATTTGGAGTTCAACGTCTTGCCAGACATGGCCAAGCGGCCAAAACAGCTCGACGAGCCTGGGGGAACGCGGGCTCTATGCTATCGTTGGTGGTTGGCGCGCTTGGCACTGCCCTCGATTCGCTGAAGCACAAAAGGTCAAGCCACGGACGCGCGGGACAAAGAGGGCGTTGAAGAGAAGGATGCTGAAGATTTGTTGGAAGCGGTTGAAGTGGTGACCGACGGTGAAGAAGAGTACGAGGTGATGGCTGCTGACTGACATGGAGGACCTGAGAATCTCAGAACTGAACTGGCCTGGCCTTATTTTACTGCTAGCAGACCTGTCCAACGCAGGTCAGGGCCTTAAGCGCTTACAAGTGGGCGCGCAACTATTTCTTTGGTTGCAGAGAAAAATTCATGTGGGCTTCATAGAGCGGCCCAAAGACATTGAAACCAGGAACGAAAAGATTTACATGAAGGGGGAAACTGGAACTCAAACCGACCCAGAAATCATAGTGGGTTGAGAGCTTTGTTCCGACTTGAATGCGAGGAGCACTTGTTGGAAACTCCACAAGTGTCTAGAAGAGACAGTTGAAGAGGTCACAATTGAGTGCAAAAACAACTGGAAAGGCATTTGTTGCAAATGTCAATGCGCGGGAAGGGCTTTGACAAGGTTTTGCCTTTGAATAAAAGAAAACTGCAGTCAAGACCTTCTTCGCCCTTTTTTTGGTCAGAAACACCAAGGCCTTTATTGCTGGGATTTCAAAAATTAGAAGGTGGCTAGTAACTGCAGTCAGAATTGTTCTTGCCAGGTAGCTCACACATGATACTTAGTTTTACTTGTGGCGTGCTGATTGAGACATACGTTTTTGGTTTGGAGGACCCACGAGGATGTACAATTGCGACGCCTGAGATCCCTGTGTCCATCAGTCAAGAGGCACGAACGCCAAGTTTCCGAACCCTCCGGGAACGAAACCACGAGTGTGTTTTGTTGGATTTGTTTCGCTCCTCCTAGCTGCTGGCTTGGCCACATTCAGCAAACAAAATGGGCGTGTTGTTCATGTTTGAATACAGGTTTTTGCCTTGTCCTTGTTTGATGATTTGTTGCCACTGGTCAAGGCCTCTCAAGTCGTTGCCAGCTTCAACCCATCAATGCTGGTTGCAGGCTGGGTTTGGCCGTTTGGGGGTCCCGTGCAATGAAACATGACAGACATCTCCGGAATGCGTCAACAATGTTCTCAAAGGGTTCTTGTCAGTGAGTTTGCTTGCAGTCATTCGGGGCCGGCATAGTGACATCGGTTTGAAACATGTTTTCAGCATAGTTAGCACAAACAGACCCAGAGAATCCTCCCACTAAAATAATCCAACAAAACCGAATATCAAAAATTCATGAAACACTAGATAATTACTTCATAGCGGGCAACCTCCCCTCCACATCCAATGCCCCAGCAATGAAGAGCACAATAAAACCTAGATTTCAGGCATTTCCCCCTGCAACTCCAACATGTTCAGCTTAGATTCAAGGCAACGTGCCCCTAACTTTTGCCTATAAAAATGCAGCCAGGTTTATTTGAGTTTGTCATGGTCCATTGGCCTGCACGACTTAGTGTCCTTTGTTTCTCTTTCCCAACCGTGTCCAAGAAAACCTAACAAGCAACTGGCTGATTCACGGACAGAGAAAACCCTTTGGCCACAGTCCTTGTACAATCAAAATGTTTCCCTTCCTTTGAATGTGTGGTTCTGTTTCTCCCCGACTAATCCTTTTTACTTCGTTCCTACGATCTTATATTTGGGCCCAGCGATTGAACCATGTCGAAAGGTTACCACTATGAACTTTGCTTGGCTGCTGCATATCGTGCATTGGATGAGCCGCAGGCCCTGCTGTTTCGCTCCTGCCATGTTCGCTCCACCCAATTTTCAGTCATGATCATAAACGATTTCACCCAAGGGGGAGATGCTTGTTGCTTTTGGGAAACTGCGTCGATGCTTGATGCTGCCAGGCTGGCCACAGTGGAAGCCATTTTTTCGCGGCTTGGACATTGAAAGATGCAAAGGGCATGAGTTGGGTTTGAACATGTTTGATCTTTCAATCTGCATTGTTTCTACGTGGATGTTCCTGGTCTTTGGTTTGCATACTCACCGTGTATCAAAGGTGTCTGGCATCACTGCAGCTAGAGCTGCATCAGCAGAGGAGCCCACTGGGGGCCTTGCAGTGCGCCGGGCATTTTCTCGTTCAAAACATGTTGAAAAGGAGCCCCTAGTAGCGTCCTTGTTCCTAGTAGCGATGCCAGGAGCCCCTAGTAGCTTCTTGTTCATTCAGGTTTTAAATTATCTGAAAAGGAGGATGTCGACAAGCGTGGCAAAGAGTGTGTCAAATCAATCGGCAGCATCACAGGTACAAGTGGCCCCACAGCAAGTATTAGCCAGCAGCTGAAAAATGTTGATGCTTGCTTAGAATTTGCTTAGTTGAAGAGTCTTACTTGTGTTTTGTTGAAGGTTCTTTAATTGCAGGCCTGCTGCTACTACTAATACTACTACTATTCTGAGGTTCTCAAATGTGGGAATTCCGCCAATTGCACGACCGAATCGCAGGTGCTGTGGTTCGTCGGTTTATCCATGGTTATCCTCATTTTGTGCTCATTGTCGGCGTCAGCCCAGTCCGAAGATCAAGCTTGTCCTGTAATTACCTTGTAGTAGTAACAGGTGCCACGCTAGTAGTAACAGGTGCCACGCTAGTAGTAACAAGAAGCTAGTAGTAACAGGTGCCTTACTAGTAGTAACATATCTCTGTCGGAAACAGGTGCAACAGCATGTTCATGACTTTTGTGTCATGAAGCGTCCAAACCCACTACTGGTGGTGTCTTGTCTCCAGGTTACATCGAACGTTGGGTATTGCTTCCTTCACAACACAGCCCCAGTTGATGCCAAGCAAAAGATCGTCCGAAACCATTCGTTGTTGTGCGCAGGTCTTCATAGCTGACCACGTTGGAGGAAGCAAGGAACCCTCAAGTGACAGATGTGGAAATGTTTTCTGGAACTTTTGATGGTTCCAATGCATTCACATCACACAAATTTGGCACATTTGATGAAGTGGGGTGCTCCAAGGCCTTTTGACAACTGCTGGAACAGCCCTGACACCCCATGCGCACTTGAGTTCTGACTCGGAGGCGCAATTCAAGTGATCAGAAAAGTGAGGATGAAAAAGGAAACATAGAAAAAGTGACTTTGGTGTCGTTTTTATCTCTTTTCATGTCCTAAGGGGTGGTTTCGTGTGCAGCTCGATACGAGCAGTCCCAGCCTCTGGATCCCGAATGAATGCGAACACTCATTTTCGGTCATATGCAAGGTCCTTGTTCCTAGTAGTAAGGCCGCCCCTAGTAGCGTCTTGTTGAATGTAGCATGTCAGGTTTGACCGCTGGCAAACACTACTTGCTTTGCCGCCAACTTAAACTCGTTCGAGATGTGAGAAGGCTGCGCAAGCTCAAATGTTTGCCAGACTTCAAGCTGAGGCATAGACTTACTTGGTTTTCGCCTTAGATTGATTCCTCAAATTGGTTTTGCCCACTCAAGATTGCCACCCAGCATTTGAGATGTGTTCTTAAGAACGCATCAGGAAGATTCCAACTAGAGTCGACCTACAGTGCCAGATTGGGACAATGGCCAGGTGTTGTCACTTGCGACGAAGTGAAGTGCAAGGTCGTGTGGTGATTGTGGCGTGTCATGTGGTGCTTTGTGATGTGAAGTGTAGTGCGATGATGTGGTTTGTGGTGCACAAAGTGGTGTGGCGACTTGTGGTGCGGTTTGTGATGAAGCAATGTGTTTAAAGAGCTTGCTGAGAGCTTCCAGCTTTTTGGTCACGATGTTTCTTTGTTTCTACTAGTAGCGTCCTCTTGTTCCTACTGATCGCTCCTAGTAGCGATGCCCTTTGTTACTAGTAGCTTTAATTGTCCTTGAAGCCAGGACCCCATGCTTGATTTGTCAGTTGTCAAACTTCTGCGCACTTGGACCTTAGGCTTTGTGCCAGGCTGCACTGACTTCACAGTGTTTATGCTCCAGCCTTGAATTTTGCACCATCACATCTGTGCAGTTTTGTGACGTCCAGAGGTCAAGTCTTTCTGCGTCCAGACAGACAATTGCAGCAACGGGAGGCCATTCCACTGCAGCATGCCGTGCAGCATGCAGTGGCCGCAACTTTTGAGAATGCACCAGATCAAATTCTCAAATCTTGGCAGGACAGCTGATCAATTTTGGTTGCGTTTCTCACTGAGAAGTTTACTGACGGAGTTAACGTATGAACAAGGAACCTGAAACGATGCTGAAAGAAATTAAGGCATCTGGTTGCACAAGTGCAACACAAGCGTTCTTGGCCCGGGACTGTTCAGGCGAAATCTCGAAATTGGCAATAAATTGTCAACTCTGTTTGTTTATGTGTGAGGCGTCACAGGTCCCAGGACGGCTGCAGCTCATTTGGCAAGGGCCTCAAACCGAACACGTGGATAGGCTCAGATTTGACCATGGTGACAGGTTTCTGGAGGTCTTTGGTCCGTGACTCTCCAGGCGTCGCGCCGCGTTGCGACGGGGACGCACTTGTCTTTCTTTCGACGCTTCGACGGAGGCGGAGACGCTTGTCATGGGTTTCCATTATCAAATGTGCCGAAAACTGAGAGATTCCCGCTAGTAGTAACAAGTGCATCGCTACTAGTAACAAGTGCCTTACTTAGTAGTAACAAGCGCATCGCTTTTTAGAAAATCACATGGAACTAGAAGCGTCCTTGTTACTACTAGTAAGGCACTTGTTACTAGAAGCGATGCACTTGTTCCTAGTAGCGAACCTTGTTCAATGCCAAGGTGTGGACTTTGATGGGGGTGGCAACTTGCAGATCGGCCCTTCGGGAGTCATGGTGGGGCACAAAGTTTGAGAAAACATGTTTTTTGAAACAAAACAACGGAGGCCATCGCTAGTAGGTTGGAGGTCATCCTTTTCACTATTTTTTGTCGTTCCCACTCTTCGGCGCTAAGGTCTATGTGTCTGGCATATCTTTGGTGTTTCCCAGCTTTATCGCGGATGAGGGGGAACACGAGATCACCATTGAATGTGGGGAGGAGACGTTTTCCTCTAACTTGGATTGTGTAATACCTTGCTTGCTAGCGATGGCAACAACGGTAAGATATTTCCTAGAACCAAAGTAATATATGACATGGACATGCTACTTCCCTTGTATAGATTATTCAACAGATCGAAAGAGTTTGGTGAAGAGAGTATCGAACAAAAATAGAGACGTGTATACTGTATAATTACTTCCTTTTTTCATCACAGCGTTTTCTTCACACTTGGTGCATTTTGCTGCAATGAAGTTGTGTTTTTGAGAGGAGCTGTCGTGTGGATCATCCCGGGTGAGCATGGGCCTTGGCACAAATGCTCACTAAGATTGGGAATGGAGAAAGATGAGAAAAGCTGTTAGGTTGGAGGCCATCGCTACTAAGGTGGAGGCCATCGCTACTAGTAGTTGCTACAGCATATCAGGAAGAACACTTGAAGAGAACCGTTTTTGAGGACTAGTGCGTGATTCCTGCGACTCAAATATCAGCGGAAGTGAGTGGCTGGCACTCCAGACAGGCTTTGTGCGCACAACATGTGTCCAACAGATCATTGAGCTCGACTTGCAAGCGTGACTTTCTTCAGCCCAAAGACATACAACATGCCTGATCAGGTGTCAATAAGAGCATTGTCAATGTCCTTTCAGATGGCATGGTTGCACTGTCCTGAGAAACATGACTTGATGATGTGTTTGATAATTTTTTTGCACTGCTCATTTAATGGACTTGAATGATGTTAACAAATCATGTGAAGAAATGGTTCCGAAGAGTACGAAAATCGAGGCTGGTGCTCACTACATTCTTTGCACAGAGTTAGAGCCCAGTGGCTTGGCGCACCAAGCAAGGCTGAGCTGAAAGTTGAAGTGTGTTTACAAAAGTATAATTTCTTTTGCAACTCCGAGGTGCTGATTTAGCCAATGAAACACCGGTGCCTAAGCAGCATCAATTCAAGAATACGTGAGAGACCGTCATCTCAACTGGACCAGTGTTGGCTTGATATCAAGCTTTGCTAAGGAAGTCGGGGATTCTGGTTGGACTTTGTATGCGATCGCCCTAATTAGTGTTTCTAAACGTATTTGAGTGTCCATTGTGAGCTCAAGTTTCACAGTCTCAATTTGATCAAATTTGTCTCAAGTATGTAGACATGTAGACCATCGTAGACAAACTTGATAGGTCTACTTAAAAGCATCTAATTAGTGTTTGATAGGTATTCGTTTTCAATTAGTTTGGCGAGGTGTCCCCTTTGAGCGCCTTTCAGTGAGGCACTAAGTGACAGGAACAGACCTGAAAGCAGTTGCACTTGCATCGTTGCACGCCCGTAGCAAAAATAGAAAGATAGGTTGGAGGCCATCGCTACTAGGGTGGAGGCCATCGCTAGTAGTGTTCTTTGATTACTTTCTTTGATTACTTGTCTATTCTACTTGGGCAAAGGCCAGAAGTTCTGCTTGCGAGTCCGCAACAGGCTCATCAAATGTTATTTTGTCAATGCGACCAGGGCGCAGCATGGTGGTCATATTTGGCCTTGAACTCTTTTCCTTGATTCTAGACTGTGAATTTTAGACAATTGGTGCTAGGTCTTGAGATTGAATTGTTCAAGCACAGCGAACTGCTCAACTCAGTTGCTGCCTTATGCCTTATGTCATTATTCGATTAGTGTAACATCACTTTCAAGCGAGTTCTCTCACAGGGCTTGCAGGGTTTTGTGCCGTTCTTGCCGATGTGCTTAGAGAATACGTGGGTTCTTTTTTGCATTTTATCCAAGGACGCAGGGCTTCCTGAGCTTTCGATGTGGATCTTCAGGGCAACTTGCTCCCCTACCTGCTGCAGACCGTATTCCCGACATGTTCACGGTTCGACAAAGTACAGAAGCACGCACAAAAGAGACTGGCTCACACTTTACTCATTTGTATGTTTCTCTCGAATGTGGGTGAGAGAGCCTGGTGAAAGTCTTGTGGCTTGAAGAATCGTGGGAGAAGCACTGCCGATGAAAGGCACACCACCTGCAACCTTACACGAAGACCCCGATGCTTCAGTAACTCGATTCAGCATATCGTAAGTTCATCACTTCCAATGTGTTTGTGTTATAAATGTGTGACACATTCAAAAACAACATGCTTCGACGCTTAGGCTGAGTGGCGCTTGAGTTTGGACACATCCCAGTTGGTGCCAGGACAGGGGTAGGCCGCGAGAAGAGGTAGCTATAGTAGCTAAGTAGGACACTCCTAGCTCAGGATAGCTCACGCTTCAAGGAGACTTTTAGGAACAAATATACATTTGGAGGCCGTCGCTAGTAAAGTGGCCATCGCTTGCGACGCATTGCGACGCATTGCGACGGATGGGTGAGGACAACACTACAAGTTGTGTTTGGACATCGATGGCCTTGGGTCTCCGGGCCAGTGCACCTCTCAACTCCACATTTTCGTTGAGACGCAATTTTGATTTGAGTAGTATAAATCAAGCGAGTCTTGTTGAGACGCAACGAGAGCGATGTGATACTGATGAGACTCGCTCTCAGGTCTTCAGCCACTTCGATCTTTATTTCCCCCATAGAGCCTGGCCTTCAAACCGTGAAAACTGAGGAGGCCAGTTTCAAAAAGCGAACGATGAAGGGAGATGTACTGTGCCTTTGGAAGAGTGCAATCGCCGCTGGTCTTCTCACTAAACTACACTACACCAAAATCATAACACTCGCAGCATCATGACTGGATTGGTGAGGTAGGAGAGTTGCTAGAGCATTTGGGGATGTTGGAGTAGTGTTTTACACGTGCGGTGTATCCATTACGGTGAGAACCAATGGATTTTGGATGATTTTGGCATGCAAAATTTGTTTTGGTGACTATTCAGAATGCACTGGGGGACCTTCTTGTGCGTGGCGTTGTGGGAGTCCTGTGGGAGGCTCAAAGCATAGCATTGCTTGGTCCTTGGTGCAGAAGAGACAAAAACTAGCCATTCAAAGTCCAAACGGGCTCAAAAGAGTCTTAGAACAAGTTCGATAGGCTCCACTCTGGAAATATGAGGCACTGTGTGCAGCACGCAGCCTGTTCCACTGCCAGCGCATGGGCCCTAGAATCAAAAATCTAAGAACCGGAACCGGTTGTTTTCAGTGGCTGACAAGTAGCTAACGAGTTGACAGAAGTCAACAAGTATTTGACTCTTAGGTTACTTTCAGTACTTCCTAATTAAGCTTCAGACGCACTCGGTTGACAAACCCCGACACCTGAGGAGTGGTACCTGACCGCAGATTCCTGTGGAGATCCTTCGCCGTCACCGGAGGCCGAGGCCGACGGTCTCGAGAGTGACAGCGTCCACCAGAGTCTGCCTGTAGATCTTAACGAGTCTTTTGGCGTTATCCTGGCAAGAGACCCCAAACAGTGTTTTGGTGTCTAGAGGTGTAGAAGCAGAAGGTCTAGAGGTCGTGAGATCCAGAGAGATCTAGAAAGATCCAGAGATATGACAGAGTTTGGCGGCTAATGTAGTCCCTTGATTAATAACCCCCCCCCCTCAACAGCCAAGGCCTCCAAAATAATGTATAAGAAAATCAATCAGTTGATAATTAAATAAGGAATCCTTAGCTAGCTACCTCTGGAGCTACTCTGGCAATATTAAATTAAAAGGAAATAAGAATTCCTAACTTTGAAGACCTCTGGCAATATTAAATTAAAAGGAAATAAGAATTCCTAACTTTGAAGACCTCTGGCAATATTAAATTAAAAGGAAATAAGAATTCCTAACTTTGAAGACATCTGGAATATTAATCGAATCTCAAGCAAATCTCCATCCAAAAGCCTCCAAAAGCATCAAATCTAAATGGAAATCTTCAAATGTTTAATGGAAATCTCAATCCAAGAGCCTCCAAAAGCATCAAATCTCAATGGAAATCTCAAGTTTTTTAATAGAAATCTCCATCCAAAAGCCTCCAAAAGCATCAAATCTCAATGGAAATCTCCAAATGTTTAATAGAAGCCTCTAAAAGCATCAAATCTCAATGGAAATCTTCAAATTTTCAATAGACATCTCCATCCAAAAGCCTCCAAAAGCATCAAATCTCAATGGAAATCTTCAAATGTTTAATGGAAATCTCCATCAAAAGGCATCCAATCTCAATGGAAATAAGGGATTTTATAAAGAAAGTGCGCACTGACTTTTGGAAACTTTTGGAAAGCTTCACAACTAAAGAGCTTAGGAAAAGTAAATAAGGAATAGAGGGTGAGTAAAGCAAATCAACAGGCAAAGAAAAGGAATAAAGATTTAAAGCCTCAAATCTCTAGACAT